TTTACACAAATAAATTAATTTAATAATGATGTGATTTGAGGCATCAGCCAGAAATTGGGGATAGAAGAACTTTAATGATCAATTGCCATCTCTGCCAAGACATGATACCATGAATGGTAGAAGAAAGATCCTTAGAGCAGAAGTGAAAAACAAAACAAATGCCAGACAGAACTAGGACATTATACTCCGCCTCACTGCCTCTAATAACCTCTCCTGAATAAAATGTTCATCTAAACAACTGCAATTGTGCCTTTCTTTCCTCTGGCTAAAGTGGCAATGTGACAAGATCTACAAGAAACCTGACCTAATTCTTAAGAGACTGAAGGTGACACCCATGAGTCCTGGCTAAGTATTAGGCTGACATGAAAAATGTCAGAGTCTAAAGTGAAAGATGAATACCACCCAGAAATGTCCTTTCATCACAAATGCAAATTAAAATGGAATAAGGAATACATTTAACAAGTCTTCCAGTGATGATGATAACTTTTCTTCAATATTGTTATTAATTTTTCTTTGTAAATATCCAGAGGTTGTATTACTACTCCCACCTCACCAGTCTGAGAGGCCTACTAAAAACACCTAATCAGAGGTGCCAAGGCACAGTCAGTTAAGCATCTGCCTTTGGCTCAGGTCATGATCCCAGGGTCTTGGGATCAAGCTCCACGTCCAGGTCCCTGCTCAGTGGGGAGCTTGCTCCCTCTGCCTCCCTGCTCATGCTCATGCTCTCTCTCTCTCACAGCAGCAGCAAAAGCCTGCCACTCTGCCTATTTGTGCTCTCTCTGTCAAATAAATAAATAAAATCTTAAAAAAAAAGATTTCTTTAATTTCTGTTCCTCTTCTGACATTACAAATAGGTGTCATTGTAAAAGCACCTATACTTTCCATTTGTGATATAAAACAGTTTTAAGGGTGCCATAATAAATCAAGGGAATAAATGTGATATCGTATTTTTCAACAATTACTTTCTATAAGTTCAAGTTAAAATTCCTTAATGTTTAATAGAAAAATACTTAACTTATGCTCTTTCTCCCTCAAACAAATAAAATCTTAAAAATAATAATAACCTAAAAAAACCCCACCTACTCAGTCCAATTAATGACCATTTCTATTTGCATACAATAGGACTTTGCTTAAGTATCTGTTAACTTCTCGGGGTAATTAGACAAAATCCATTATGAGAAATGCAATCAGCAATCTTGTGTCAGGGAGTTGAAGGTCAGGTAGTCAGTAGTACTGAGAACTTAACTGTGTATAAGGTACTATAACATTTCTTGAAGTAAAAACTATTTTCTCAAGAGGACCTCAATTCAGCTGAGGAAACCACATGTTAATGATACAAAAATGCTCCTTAGGATTCTAAAACCACTGGGGGAAAGTTTGTTAAAAAACAGGATATTTACAATTTCAAAGAATCGCCAAGTATTTTGAAGTAATCCTCACAGATTACTTATTAATTACAAAGGGAAAAGAGTTACCTTTAAAGTGAAAAAAATTTCTTAGCTAAGTGATCAAAGTTAATTAACATCACCAATAATGCCTCCTGATGTAAGGCACTGAGGACATATTACCTGCCAAAAAAGCATACTGTGTATGGGTTTATGAGGAACAAGCAAACAAACCTCAATTAAAGGACGTTCTATAAAACAACAGGCCTGTTACTCTTCAAAAAATGTCAATCATGATAGACAATGAAAGGCTGAGGGATTGTTCCAAAGAAAAGACAACTAAATTTCATTTCTAGATTGGGGGAGAAATTGTTATAAGGTAGAGTTATTAAAACAATCAGTAAAATTTGAATATGAACTGTGTATCAAATCATAATACACATCAATGTTAAAATACATTTGATAATTACACTGTTATGTAAAAGACTATCTTTGTTTTTAGGAGATAAAAGCTGAAGTACCTGGGGATAAAGGGGCATGATTTCTGCAGCTTACCCTCAGCAGAAACAGAAGCAGCAGCAGAAGCAGAAGAAGGAGAAGCAGAGGAAAAAGGAGGAGGAGGAGGAGGAGCAGCAGCAGCAGCAGAAGGAGAAGCAGCAGCAGCAGAAGGAGAAACAGAAGAAGCAGCAGAAGCAGTAGAAGCAGCAGAAGCAACAGAAGAAGAAGGAGGAGGAAGGGATGGGGAAGGAGTGGGAGAAGGAGGAAAAAAATTGTGTATTGTTACATTAAAAAAAGGGGGAGGGCGCCTGGGTGGCTCAGTCGGTTAAGCGACTGCCTTCGACTGCCTTCGGCTCAGGTCATGATCCCAGAGTGCTGGGATCGAGTCCCGCATCGGGCTCCCTGCTCAGTGGGGAGCCTGCTTCTCCCTCTACCTGCCGCTTCCCGTGCTTGTGCACTCTCTCTGACAGATAAAATTAAAAAAAAATTTTTTTTAAATGTTCTATAAAAATTTTCCACACAGGCTCTCATATAAGCCTGTCTTTCAGGTTTTCTAGAAATTGATTCCTTCTCTTTCCTAATTCTTTGAATTAGTATGACTGATACAAATATTCCAAGAAGTATATGTTTTAGTAATCTAAACATCTTGCAAGGAAGTAAGATCATAACAGCAACAGTTATAATAATGGCTCTCTTTCTTTGAATACTAGGCACTTAATATACATTAAGTATATTAATGCTAGGCACTTAATATACATTATTCTCATTTAACCCATATAACCTGAGATGCAGGCATTATTAGCCCCAACTTACAAATGAGAAAACTAAGGAACAGGGACGTTAAGTAAGAGATCCAAGAGATCACAAAGCTAGCCGTGGGAGAGCCAGGATTTAAATCCAGACTTGTCTAATTCCAAAGTCGTTACCACTATTTTTTCTGTCTCCCAGAAATCCAAGATTTGTAAAAAGAAGCTGTCTCGTCATCAATACTGCTGCTTCCTTCTGTCAAGAACATTCTATGGCATGGGTCCCTTAAGTTCTTGCAGACTTAAGTAAGTACTAACTGCACAGTAGAATAAAAGGTCACAGTTACTTAAAGGTAAACAAGGTCTCAGGACCAGTCGAATAGAACTGATGTGGCTATTGGCCTGATTCAGTCAGTCCAATTTGTCAGCTGTACAGATGTGTAGATCTTTCCTATTGGATAGTTTTCCTAGGATTTTCTTATAAACTTCCAATTTAAGCAATAAAGATTTCTTTAATCTTAGGACGCCAGGATGGCTCAGCCAGTTGAGCGTCTGCCTTCAGCTCAGGTTGTAAACCCCCGGGGTCCTGGGATTGAGCCCTGCATTGGGCTCTCTGCTTGGTGGTGAGCAGGTTTCTTCCTCTCCCTCTGCCTGCCACTCTGCCTATTTGTGCTCTCTCTGTCAAATAAATAAATAAAATCTTAAAAAAAAAGATTTCTTTAATCTCTGTTCCTCTTCTGACATTACAAATAGGTGTCATTGTAAAAGCACCTATACTTTCCATTTGTGATATAAAACAGTTTTAAGGGTGCCATAATAAATCAAGGGAATAAATGTGGTATCGTATTTTTCAACAATTACTTTCTATAAGTTCAAGTTAAAATTCCTTAATGTTTAATAGAAAAATACTTAACACATCCAAAGACATGTTTATAGGAATTTCTTCAGAAGTCTTTGCTCTGGGGTACCTGGGTGGCTCAGTCAGTTGGGCGGCTGCCTTCGGCTCGGGTCATGGTCCCAGGGTCCTGGGAACGAGCCCCGTGTCAGGCTCCCTGCTCTGCGGGGGGCCTGCTTCTCCCTCTCCCTCTGCCTCCTTCTCTCCCTGCTTGTGCGGTCAAATAAATAAATAAAAAATATTAAAAAAAAAGAAGTCTTTGCTCTGTGTGGGGGGTGGAGGAGTGGAAAGGTATGTGTGCTATAATATTTTTATAGCTTTATTGAAGTATAATTGACATACAATAAACTGTATTTAAAGTGTATAACTTAATGAGTTTTAACATAACTATACATCCGGGAATCATCAAAATTAAGAGAATCAACATACTACCATTGTCAGGTTTCCTCATGCCACATTAGAATCCATCTCTTCCTCCCCGACTTCAACTTTGCTTTACTTTTTTGTTTGTCTGGCTTTTTTTTTATACTATGGCAAAATATATGTAACATAAGATTTGCTTTCCTTTCTAACTGCTTACTTCTTAAAGCACTGAACCATCTTGTCATATGATTCAACTTAACTAGACAAACACATGGTTTGATTTTTGATTGCCCCTCAAATCTTTCTATTCCTGAAGAATCCCTACTAATAATTCATTACTTAGCTAAAAGGTTAAAACCTTTTGGTGGATAATATTGAACTAGAAAGAAGCAAAAGCTCTCCCTCTAAGAGTTAAAATACTGCCAGTGTGATTTAAATATATTCGAAAGCCAAACTGGTATCTGGGGTAATTGGACCTTGTAATATCCATTCTATTCCACTAGATTAAAAAATCATACAAAAAATATAAAATATCACAATAAGGACTCAAGGCAAGAGAAAGAATTTGTGTGATTAGCTAAAGCTAAAGTAAAATTCACAAACATAGAAGGAATCATGTGGTTACTGTGATTACAGTGGTTACTTTTGTTGTTAACATGTTACAAAGCCCTTTGGTAAATAATAGTAACACTAATATATTTTACCTGTATTTCAATTGAGTACATATAACAAAATCTCTCCATCTGCCTTATATAATCACTTTCAATCAAATGTCTAAGGCAGTATTTCTCAGTATTTTTTATCCATGCTCCATCAAATGTCTAAGGCAGTGTTTCTCTGTATTTTTTATCCATGCTCCATTTTAAGAAATATAGAAATTTTGGGGTGCCTGAGTGGCTCAGTCTGTTAAGCCACTGCCTTCGGCTCAGGTCATGATCCTGGGGTCCTGGGATCGAGTCCCACATCCAGCTCCCTGCTCAGCAGGAAGCCTGCTTCTCCCTCTCCCTCTGTCTCCCGGCTAGCTTGTGCTCTCACTTTCTGTCAAACAAATAAATAAAATCTTTAAAAAAAAAAAAAAAAAGAAATACAGAAATTTTAACCTCACTCCATCAGCATAGTGTTATGGTTTAAGAGTTCAGGCCCTAAAATCAGATTACCTAAGCATGAATCCCTTCTCCACTACTTACTAGCCACGAGAACTTGGACAAATTCCTTAATTGCCAGAGTTGCATCACCTAACAAATGAAGTTCAAATGGAGTACTCCATGTAAGCCTTAGTTCAGTGCCTGGCACACAGTAAGTATTTGTAAGTATTACCTACTATATTATTTAGTAGTAGTAGTTGTTATCATCTGCCTTAAAGCTTGCCTTCTTGTGTATCCCCTATATCCAGAAAGATTTTGTCAAGTTTTCCCCCTAGGATTACTATTATGAAAAGTATACTTTTTTTTGAAAGATTTTATTTATGATTTAAGAGAGAGAGAGCATGAGCAGGGGGAAGGGCAGAGGGAGAAGCAGACTCCCCACTGAGCAGGGAGCCTAATGTGGGGCTCAATCCCAGGACCCTGAGATCATGACCTGAGCGGAAGGCAGATACTTAACTGACTGAGCCACCCAGGTGCCCCATGAAAAGTATACTTTAAATGTAAAAATATTAATATTCACAACCCTTTGACATAGGTATATTGTTTTTATTACTATTTTACAGATAAGAAAACTGAGGCACAGATGATAAGGTCACACAGCTAGTAAGTAGCAAAGCTAAGAATCAAATTCAGCCAGCCTGGCTGCGGACTACACACTCCTAATCACTAGAGTATATAATATGATACAATACCATACTATTACAAGAAGGTACCTGGTAACTATCTCTAAATATCTGAATGCCTGTCATGCTGGATAGAGCAAATACCCAGACAACAAAAAATAGATCACTGGTTGGAAGAGGCAGAGTTATAAATGGTAACTAAACATAATAAAAACCTTTTTAGGAATAAGAGTTATCTGAAACAGAACTGGGTTAACTCAGGAGGCATTTCATTTTGGCACACCAGGATATTCAAGCAGAGGTTGTGTAGAAACACATTTATTCATTTTGTTGGTCATTATCCTGTTAAAGTCCATCTTGGTTGATCTTTTTGCTTATCCAATCTGTTAAAATAATGTCAAATCTTGACTGTCTATATAATATTAGCTATTTATCCTAATTTAATGTAGTCTATAAACTTGGAAAGGTTTTTGTCTCCAACCAAATCACTGTCGAAAATACTGATCAGGATAGATATATGTCACCATACACCAATGTGACCTACCACTAGATCCCTCCCCCACTTAAGATCCACTCTTTTTTTTTTTAAGATTTATTTATTCATTTTATGGGGGGGGGCAAGGGCAGAGAGAGATGAAAAGAGAAACTCAAGCAGACTCCACGCTGAGCACAGAGCCTGACACAGGGCTCAATCTCACAACCCTGAGATCACAATCTGAGCCGAAACAAAGAATGGGACGCCCAACCGACTGCACCACCCAGACGCCCCGAGATCCACTTTTAGAGTACTAGGTTAGTACAATATAAACACAGTAGAATTTATCTTTAGAAAACAGAATAGAGGGGCGCCTGGGTGGCTCACTCGGTTAAGTGGTTCAGGTCATGATCCCAGGGTCCTGGGATTGAGCCCGGCATCAGGCTCCATGCTCAGTGGGGAGCCTGCTTCTCCCTCTCCCCTTGCCCCTCCCCTCCACCTCTCCCCACTGCTCATGCTCTCTCACATGCTCCCTCTCAAATAATATCTGAAAAAAAAAAAAAAACAGAAACAGAGTAGAGAATATATTTAAATTTCTTAATGATTAGGGTATTCAATCAGATGTAAATCTGTTTTATTGCATTATCACACAATTCACATCTCTATCACAATACCAAAGATTATGATAATAATTATAGCTAACATTTAGCACACTTGCTATGTGCCAGGAAGTTTTAACCTTTGCATATGTTAAATAATTTAATCCTCCCAACAATCCTGTAAGTTAGATAATACTATTATCCCTATTTTGAAGATGAGGAAATAGAGGCACAGCTAAGTTAAATGACTGAGGTCACACACCTAGGACAGAGCAAAAATAGGATTTGGCCCTAGGCATTTTGACTCTAGGGTCTGTGCACTTAACAGCACCACCATGCTGCCTAGTATATAAAATGGTCATACTTGAATTTAATCAAAACCACATATTACAGTCAGGAACTTAATTTCATTTTTCATAAACAATGGGCTCCCTTCTCACTGGACCTATCAATGGCAAACTATTCAAGAACTCTAGGGACTTGTTTTGGTTTGGGCCACAGTAAAAGAGCAGAGAGGACACTAGACTAGGAATCACATATAAACTGGGATTTAATTCTAGCTCCTTCTAGTACCTTAACTCTAAGTCTAAAGAGTGATCACAAGGAAGGCTCTAATCAAATATACTTAATTTCTAAGTCATGCTAAGGATGAAATGAGAAACTAGACTATAAATTTCCTGATGTAGCGGATATTTGTTGTTTGTCTTCCCACTGTTCAATCCTGCTCTGAAAAGAGCCCATTTTCATCTGGGGACTCACTTTCATTTGGTCTATGTAAGCTCCAACTTCAAACCCTAGCATCAGATCACATGTACCAAACTTAAACCAATCAGCGTTATCATTCTCCCCTGGCCACAGACTGGAGGAGGAAGGGAGAAGGGACAGTAATAGGTGACCTGAGTCAGTCCAATCAGAGTACATTTCAGAACTCACCAGATGGAAAGGCTTAGATGAAGATTATCACTTCTCTTTGTGGATCTAAACCTAGAGACATGGCTTTGGGAAGCATCCTGTGACAAACTAGTGGCCATCCTATCACCAGGAGGAGAGCCTTTTTTGAAAGCGTTGACACAGAGTAAGCAAGCTGATGATGGGGAGAATTCAGATCCTGAACCGTCTAACTGTGCCAACCAATACATTCATTCCCCTTTTTGCTTAAGTTAGTTAAACTGGGTTTCTTATCACTTAGAACCACAAAAATCTTAATTGGTGCATTTAATACCTAGCAATGAGCTCTGGTACAGAGTAGGCACACTCAATTACTATTTGAATATACTAAGTATAGAAAACCACTTTCGAAATTTTGAAAAGCACTTTATTCAACATTACTGTTTTGTTTTGATGGAAAGGAGTCAAGTTCTTGTCAGTTTATAAGTGTATCAAAGATGGCACAACAAAGCTCCCATCCTGTTAAAACTATTTTTCCTTATCTGCTTACATATAGTTCTTCTATTTTTCTAAAGATGACTTTTGTGTCTTACACAGTATTTTACATTATACTTTGAACATTACACATTAGACTTAAACTCAGGTCTTAAGATCCTAGGGATTTGGAACAAATACACCTAATACTTTTGGTGTTTCATGTAAAACACTTCTGTATCTTATCCACTTTCTTAGGAGATGGAGAACACCAAGATCACAGACATTCTTTAACAATAACTCTAAAAGAATTTTGAAATTATAAAAAGATTGTCTCATGCCTTTCCTCTAAAACTACTACTATTTTTTAAACTTTGACTCTATAGATCTCTCAAGAGACCATTTTTCACTGGCTCTTAGACCAACCCCATGCCACATCTACTAACTTATACACCATGAAAGCGTACAGAATAATTTAATTATTAGTGCCTTACTGGAAGAAATTACCAGTTCCCCCAAAGTTACAAAAGATGCCTGACATATCAGGTTTGCCATTGAGAAAAGGTATGTTGGAGGATGAGAGCATACTGAGGATAGTAAATACATGTTGGCTTTTAGTTCATTATACTGAAACTTAGCTATACCTAAAACCACATCACCTTTACCACATTCACAATTGCCCAGTTGTTCCAACAATGAGGAACAATACTTCCCAAACTCTCCATTTATGATAACTGCACCTTTGGAATCAACCAACACTATTAAGTAAAGGTGCAGTGATTTCCCTGGAAAAGGGAATATCTACACTCAAGAGAGGAAAAAACAAACAAAAAAAACACATACACAGGCTGCCTTAACAGAACAGGCTGTCCAGAAGGTGATAAGGTTGGAAAAAGATGGCACCTCCTCAGAACCAATATAGTGTAAGATCAGAATGGGGCTGAGGAGTGGAGAATTACCTAATACTCTCTGTAGGCGGATCCTGGCTTCTAGCCATAGCATCCATATTAATTAAGCTACGATGAGTCAGAATGAAAGTAGTTGGAGATAAGATACATAGCCTCCCCCTTAAACTCATTAGGGTGTGCCAAAGCTTCCTGTTTCCTTAGCGGTTTATCCTACAAAAAAAGTTTCTTTGTAAAATGAAACTATTACAAGAGAGAAAGGGATCTGAGACCATTTGTAAGGCCTGATCTTTCTAACCTTTACAGTCCCTAGTAACCTATCTTTAGTCAAAATCCCCACTGATGCACAGATCTAAGTATGGACATACCTGCCACAACCACCAGACCACCACCATGCCTATTAAGTGAATTAGTGTCTCTAAATTGCTTTCAAGATACAGAATGTAGTATCTGTGCCTGTGATTTTTACTCAGATTCACAAAATCTGGCTCCATTTCTGCTGACTCACCTCCCAGTACACACTGCTTGCCTTGTTCTTCAATGTTTCAATAAATGCCCGCTTGGATGCATCAATTTTGCTACTAAGAAAAGTACACCGAAGTGGAAATGTGTGTGAGGTGGGAAGGGCAGCAGTGAGGAGACACTGAGGATAAATCTGGTCAAGTGTTTTTCCAATGTAAGTGTCCTAAAGGCGACAAAATCTGGGTACTGGTATGCACACGCTTGTGTTTTAAAGATGACAGTGTCCTGCAAGTGTAGTTTTAAGGACTCCCACCCAACCCCTTCTATTCTACCTCCTTATTGCTAGTAGATCTAGTAAGCACCCCAGGGTGAAAGAGGAGGTAGATTCTGCTTCCTAACCTATGCAACAACCTAAGTAATAGCAAATTGCAAGCACGTATATTCTTCAAGTTTCAAAAACTGAATTCAAATTTGACAGAGTACTACAGGAACTATCTGCAACAAGAGGAGACATGAATTTTTCCTTTGCATTCTATTCCTGCTTCTCCCATCTCTGGGACATTATCTTCCTCGGTAAAACCATATCTCAGTAATTTTCCTTTGGCATACCAATGTCCAGGTCCAAAGCTGAGTGAGCAAGCATACTTTATTTTTTTTAAAGATTTTATTTATTTATTTGACAGAGAGAGACACAGCGAGAGAGGGAACACAAGCAGGGGGAGTGGGAGAGGGAGAAGCAGGCTTCCCGCCGAGCAGGGAGCCCAATGTGGGGCTCAATCCCAGGACCCTGGGATCATGACCTGAGCTGAAGGCAGACGCTTAACGACTGAGCCACCCAGGCGCCCGCAAGTTGTGGAGGTTAATAAAGTGGTGCTCTTTT